CCATTCTGAGCATCATATCTGTAATCGTCAGAAATCCGACAACAAAAAGCAAGATTTGTCCATTTTCTTTGTTCCAATCGTGCCTCAAATGCGAATAAACGCACCTTAATAAGCGTATGCTCAAAAATGGCTCATGATACGGGAGTTGTTTCACCCACGATGCTACCACACCCGCTGACACACATTGGATACATTTACACAACAAAAGGTTCATTTAGAGCCATTTCTAATGTTCTTATGTGTCCTCACATGAATTCAACGCATCAAAAGGCGTAACGCAAACAACATTCATGTCACATGATTCATTTCCGGGTAGTTAGAATTCCGTTTCCACAGATAGGTATTTCAACCACTCTAATCCGAAAAAATCCCATACGGTACAATTACAGAATAAATGTTCGGTTGCACAGCGCCTAATCTGACGAACGAGTCTAGCAATGAACTTTGAAGTTGTATGGTCATGCACAGTGAATGTGGAGTGATGGTCCGCAAAAGCGTTTGTTATTTTGCGTGCCTGATCCACAATAGGGAGAGGCGGCAACCATGGACCTAAAAGCACTGTATGAAAGCGCGTACTTCCCATGTAACCCGCTACCCAATGTGATGGACCCGCGACTAATTGCGGCAGACTTTGAATACCAATGACGTTCCTATTGTCAGTTTATATCCAGCATGTCCGCGTCATCATCCGAAGCAGCAAGCACCTTCTCCATATGCATCTTCGTCACAAAATGTCTTCGAATAAATAATGGTTGTATGGCAACGAGTATTCAACAGTGATGCTGGTGCTCATGATGACGGCAAGGAGTGCCTGAGTCTTCTGACAAAGCAAACGGTCTTTCTGGCTACTAGAATTTAGGTTAGTTTTGGCGGAAGCCGCTCATTATTTCAACTTGGCGAACTTCATTTCTCAAAAAATTACTGTCTGATATCAGCGCAAATATGGACGGGCAGAATCACACTTGAGGCTTTCAACTCAATATAGCATCAGAAATGATGCATCTCTAATGTTTAGGCTGGGAATTCAAGACAACTGGTGTAACTCTGGATGCTGCTGATGAGGAATTCAAGTACTGTGTGGTTTCCTCATAACCCCACCAAGATTTAATGGGAGGTGTCTTTTATCACGGAATTCGTAGAAGTGCTTTACAGCGTTCACTTACAATTGTGTGATAGGCAGTGAATATCTAAGCCCTTCGAGAAGACACGTTCCAGAATAAGAGGGTTATTCGGTTTTCAAAAAACAAGGTGCCTTGAAAAGTTTTGCTTTTCTGTTTATTAGGCTGTAAATGTTTAGTTGGTGTTTTCTAACAAAGACCCCCGAGGCGGAAAGCTTTCTTCCTTTTACAGGTTTGTCCTACAGTTTTGATGGCCGTCAACAAAGGCTGAGTATATCTACTCGAAGTTGGAATGCGAGTTCGGACACTCTAACCAACGTTTCCCTGCGCTTGCTTGCCACTGGCATGTTTTTGACAATAACCGCTTATCAACTTTGTTTAATTTCAGTTGTGTGCAACGTATTGTGTGAGTGCCATTTAGCGGTTATTCAAATTGGTAATAGCTAAAATGTGGCACAACACTCCACTTCTATGGCGGCTGTTTTTGCAACCATTGACTTTGGTTAAATAATTCAGTTCGAAATATGCCGTACAAAAATATCCTCAGTAAATTTTAAATGATCCGCATTTTTGCACCACAATGAACGCTTCCTTCCTACAAAGGTAATGCTCATTTCATAGGTCAATTGAACGGTTACGTCTGGCTTACAGAAACATGGATGACCACCACACCAAGTAGAATTCGCTGCCCTGGGATTCAATACACTACAGAAAGCCTCATTCAATGAGCTTCGTTTACCCGAAATTTAAGGTTTTTTTCGTACATTAGATTCAACGTTTGTGGCACACCGTTCACAACAGCTTTCCGTGTGGTCGCATTTGTCCTTCTGTCTTGTTACTCGTCAAGAGGATGGCTGATGGCAATATAATCGGGCGGAAATTACATGTGTCAATGCATTGTAGGTGAGTACTATGAATCATGATATGATACTATGAATCACTGGATGCGAATCAAATATACCAGCCTGCTGTAGAGATTTTCAAAAAGGGTTACAATGCCATTTAGGTGCTGGTTCCCTCGTACAACACAGTATTGCTGTTCACGATTAAATTTGAAGCTGTAGTCGTGTTAGAATTTGAGATTATAGTCGGTGATTGTGAGTGAAGTGAAATATTGGCCGGATTGCGAAATATTGTCTCTGGCTTTTGAATATTATGTGGGTTAGAATATGGGTATTCTGGATTGAAACCGTGATAAGCGACTGACTCAAACAACCAGAAGTGTCTACATCGATATCTCGTACTTGGAAGAACCTTTGCAGCCTAATGCACTGTCAGATTAGAGAGTGAAATTCGAAAAAAACGCCTGGATAGTGAACTTTTGATCAGCTGACTCAGCGCTAACCTGTACTTCATGTATATATATATATATATATATATATATATATACATGAAGTACAAGTTAGCTCCGAGTTAATGCACGGAGTTAGAAAACTCGGTTAAAAGCTCGCTGAATTCTAAATATTTAAACACTTGTTTCTTCATGCCCATCTACAGATATTAGCAAATTTGCCGATGAAGGTAAGGTGTTCTTTAAGTATGAACTATGTTTCCAATTGCGTTTTGTTTATTTTGAGATAGAACACAGTGTAGCAAAACTGGCAGAATTGCGTGGTGACTTGAGAATTCAGTGAGAATTCAATGTTCATATCTAATCGCCAAATGAAAACCGCTAATTCTGGTGGTTTATAGAAAACAAAATGATTAAAGAAAAGTCGAAGCATTCGTTCTGGACGAAGTCGCTTGCTGAACTCCGCCCGTTGCATGTAGCTCTTTGCCCGTGGAACATTACATTACGTTCATTCCTCTGAAGTTTACGACAAACATCCGCATCGCAAATCCCGTCCGGTTTGAGGAACCGTGAAACATTCAAAAGCATTTGTTGACGAATGTGCGCAGGCATGTTGGAAACTTAGACAGACAGCGACATTTGCATGGAACGGAAGAAGCATTTGTCAAAAATTTAGTCAGATAGAGCTCAAAATCCCAAATTCTTAAGGCTAGCCGCTTTAAGTACGTCATTATCATCTCTTGGAAAATTCCATGCTGTCGCGATGCTTAGTTTTCAGTTTTTCAAGTAAGCATTAGTCTCATTTGGTAAACCCATCATCGCACACTTGGATTTCGAATGAACTGAATAAAAGCATTTGGGCCGGTACACGAGAACGTCCAGTACACATTCTAATAGCCCAGACCAGATTGATCTAATAAAATTATGGTTGTGTGCGTATGTTACTCTCTCATCAATAAGTACGGAACAAGATACATTGGAGAATGACGGAAATTTTTCGATCGCTCGCTTGACAGATACGGTTTTCCATCTATAACCTAAAGAATAAAAGCATTTGGGCCGGTACACGAGAACGTCCAGTACACATTCTAATAGCCCAGACCAGATTGATCTAATAAAATTATGGTTGTGTGCGTATGTTACTCTCTCATCAATAAGTACGGAACAAGATACATTGGAGAATGACGGAAATTTTTCGATCGCTCGCTTGACAGATACGGTTTTCCATCTAATAACCTAAACTAGGAGTTGAATGAAACAAATCATATTGCAAGATAGGTCTTCGTGAATGTTAGATTTTTCACCGTTTGGTCGTTGAAGGTTTCTTGCGGGCAGTTCACCACTGTCTATGTACACCCAATGAGTGGGAATTCGACAAAACGAGAGCGGCAAAGGCGGCCGCTCCGAAAATTATCAATTTTTGGGGTTTGATGAGTGCCAAGCTGTATACTTTGCAAACTCCCACTTGTGTCGAAAGCAAAATCCACAGGCAAGCACAGTGGCGATTTAGACACCCAACTTACTGCTTTTAATTATCATGAGTGGAGTGTGAATCTTTCGGGATTTCCGCATCATCTGCGCACAGCAACGTCTGTTCCCAGTGGGCGGCTGGTGAGCGTCTATCTGGAAAGTGCGAAACATATTACGAATTCGCACATAGTTGACTTTGCAAATCACCCCTTACTTGCTTCTCAAATGCTTTCACGCTTCAGAGAAAGCTGGCTTCAAGCAAACGTCTTCAAGTGTAACACACTGTAAGTCACTACTGAAACATACTGATACATATTTATTCAAACCGAATCCAACAGTGGTGATTTGATTCTCAGAATAACCAGGCACTGACCGCGCTGCACAAGACAATTAGAAAAGTTCTATATGACAAGCCAAAATGAAACAAGTGACCAAAATAGGATGTAATCACAAATAACTTCAGCGGTGAGCATGGATCATGTTGAGGATTCCGACAATCGCCGCGTGCGGATTTTTCCGCATTTAATTAGGCATAATCAACGTTATACGGAATCTCCTGCTACAGTTGTGACAAAACATATTTATCTACCGTAAAGCGTGAGAATGTAGCTCTTTTACGCAATGCTTAGTCACGTTCTAATTTACCACCAGGTGTATCCACCTGTCGCGTGATCCGTCGAGTACTGCCGTACTTTGAAATAAAAAACATGGTCCTGTCGCCTATGAAACAAACTCACTATTAGAGGATATACGCCGGAGTTTTTTCTGTGTGAAGGGTCTCTCGAAAGGTACATATGACTTTAGAATGTCATTTGTAGACTGTTTCACCGACGATGATTCGAACCTTTCTTCGACTGCCAAGTGACGAAAATTATTTTGTTCCGGGTTACTTATACTGCGTTCCCTCTTGCAAACGGAAATGACAGTCTGTAATAATCCAGAGCAGCAAATTACTAATCAAAGCGTCTTCCGTCATTTTTATAACACATTTGTTAAGTGTAGACAAATGGGAGAGGAATACTCTATTCAGAATTTTCCGCTTGAAGCCTATTTCTGGCCTGCAAACTACAGATAAGTGATAGCTCTGGGTGAAGAACTGCTCGCTTACGAAGCAAACTCACAAGCAGAGAATATTCGGCTGAGTTTTTCTCTGTGACGGGTCTCTCGAATGGTACAGATGACTTTGGGGTGTCATTTCTAGACTGTTTCTCCGATGATGATTCAGACGACTTCTCTTTGACTGTCGAGTGGCGAAAAATATGTTGTCCCGTGTTAATTATACTGTATTCTCTTTTCCACCGTGGAATTCTAATAAGTCTAGTCCTGTTAAATATTCTCGAATAAATAACTTTATTTACTACAATTGGATCATGCGTTTTGCAAGGTAGGATGGTCAGACAGCCAGCTAATGCGTTCTAAGTTTGTCTCATTTGATTAGTCACAATCCATAGTTTCTAAACTCCATACAATCTGTCGTTAGCCTGCTCATAATGGCTTCGTTTGTCTTGTCATCAGAAAAGTCTTCGTAATGCGGCCCTTGGAAATACACTGGATCTTTTTTCTTTCCTTACATCTGCAAGGCATTTTCCGCTTATTGATTGCGGATATGGCTACAAGTGAGTGCTTCCAGGAGATCATGGTCACATGACCAACACATGGTTTTGTTCAATGCAAAATCTAGATAGACTTGTGGTGAGCTTCTAATCCACAGCTGTCGGGACTCGCGCGGACGCACGATCCTGACACTTTGTACTCGCATTCTATACATGAGGAGAGACAAAAAATTAGTTGCTTTACCATGATTCCGGCTCCGCTACTGAATCTAGTGCGTTAAGCTGAATCACTGTTTTCTCCTAAGGTATCAACGATATCAATGTTCATCTGAAACGATGCGATCACGTTCCCGAGGACACACATTATGTTCATTGAAGTACCCCCGCCTTCCGTCGATGCGCAGAGCACCAAACGATTTAAAATGTGCAAGGTGCACCACTCAATTGAAATTCAAAGCCATAACCGGATGAAATCTTTTGAAGGTCGAAATAACTGGCGCCAAGCCGTTGCGACTTGCAACCGTTGTACTCAGATCCTTCAAACACTTGGCAGACCGAGTTTATGAAAACGGTTAGGTGTCTCTCAAGAGTAAGGCGCTACATGTCTGAAATACGTACGCAGCTAACTGTTTCCCTTGTTTATGGTATTTTGCGAGAAGATATTCACCTGTGATTCTCCGCCTAAGTTTCATTTATTCACCACTAAATAGCTCAGATTACACGGGACATCTATAACACCATTTCGAATTTGATGTCTGCTTTTCCGAACAGAATCGAAATCCGAAATTTGCGAAAGCCCCTCAAAGCTCAGATACCATTCCGGTCATCAAAATATTCTTTTTCCGAAAATCAGTTCTAAGGCTTAAATTGTACCGACTTCGACATTCTTGAGAACTTGCGTAAGTGCCGTCAGATGTCATGTATTTGTATGAGTGCGCTCGGATGTACTTGAACAAAGCAACCCGAAAGAAGTTTGGTATGCCCGTTTGGTCTGCTTTAACTAGTTACTAAAACCAAAGGTCTTAATTCTTTTGGCTTATCATATTTCGAAGTGCTAAAATCTTTAATGGACAGCAAAAACACACATATATCTAGGTTTGCACAGTTTTTAATATGGAATGCCGGATCCTTCTTTCTAAAATCATCTGATGGGCAACGTTATAGCCCATTTAGATGAGTCTTAAAGAAACCAGACAGCAGGTTTCCTACACTAATTTTACTAAATTCCAAAAAGTTCTCTTTGCGACTCTAGAGATATGGGAATTTTCAGTTCAGAAACCTCTCAAAGCATTGGTGAGTTAATTTCATCGCAATAATTTATATTTCTCGGCATATATCTGCCTATTTGCGATTCCCTTTTGTTGCATGTGTTGAGTGCTGAACGTAGAAAACAGGATATCTGGTTTTGTCCAAACACACTTGCATATTAAATCGATTCGTGTGGATCAGATGATTCATGGAAGGGCGGCAAATATCGTTTAATTTTGCTATCGCTGAAATTGCTGATAACGCTAAAAAATTCAACGACAAGTTTCGTTCTTCGCGACGCTCACCTGATCAACATAGCCCACAGTTTTCGTCGGTTTCATGTATTCCATAAACACCGGATTGCACATATACTCGCTTTCAAATGGCTTTGATATTGATGAGCGGCCAAGTTGAATCTTCCGTTGCGCTTCCTGTGGACACCAACGTAGCTTGCAAACGAGTACGCAAACGAGTACGATTGCATAAAATATGCGATTGAAATGAAAACCCGGGACTGCGGTAACTAGCTAGATCCCAAGGAGTGTGAAACCTGTCAGGAATCGCCAAACATCCGTCAGCAAACTGATGACTAGTGTTCCGTCAAGATACCATATTACACTATTTAAAATATCACAGCACCACGAAATGGGCGTTTGCACCACAACCGGATGAGGAAGAACACAGACGAGGGACAAATTTGGGTCCCTTGTCAAAACCAGTATAATTCACAAAAAGTATTTTCACCTGCCAGTTGCCATATCATTTAATTCCTATAGAAAAATGTGACCAAATTTCCAGAATTGATCTAGGCAGCAAAATATTCGAGTGTCATCGACCACCAAACAAACATTTGCCTGACACGATACGCTGACCAAAAATTAAAGTGAGGTTAATCCGATTGTGACCTGAGATTTCATAGACATGGAGTAATATCACGCTTTCAGTAAGGTCAGATAACTGTTCATCTTAAAGAATTTCTAATTATTTACTAGACTGTCACGTAGAACACCCAAAAACGAAAATGCTATTTTTTATACCAACCTACTGTACAATACTTCAGAATATCATACTATGTTTTACGATGCTATATTTCCAAATTTATAAACTGCATATTACATTCCACACAGCTTTATTTCACCTAATTCCACGGAAATTCTTTAGAAACTACTGCGTACCTCCGGCAGGAATCAGCATTATAAACGTCCCATGTCCAGCGTTACGTAGACAACCAACTTTTCTGAATAGGTTAGCAAGTTTTTGGAGAAAGATGAAAAAAATAACGCTAATAAATTGTAGCGGACCCGTACCTTATAAACGTGTTCGGGAAAATGAACGAGCAAAATTAGCCAATACAAAATCACAAAATCGCAATAGGGCAAGAATAATAAGTCAAGGTAGGACTCGCGAATGCGTTGATCGAATAGTCTACTACGCCGATCCAAGTGCAGTAACCGGCTGTGAGGGAAATATTCACTTGTAGAAATTTCCCACGGATGAATTGCGTGTTAGTGGTATATTCCACGAGAGGTAAGTTAATCGTGGCTAAAATGTGCCGCGGTGATTGAATGTGACCTTCAGCTGCTAACACAAACACTGAGAGCTCGTCCCATTGGTTCAGCAAGTCAGCAAACAGTCCAACAGAGCGTAAATCCACTCACTCAGCAAGTCGCGCCGACAAATTGTGTATCTGTACCATTAAAACAAACGTCGTGATAAAATATGTATGACAGTTAAAAAATATAGTTGAAGTTTAATAAATGGTAAATA